CCCCAAAACCCCAAAACCCCAAAACCCCAAAACCCCAAAACCCCAAAACCCCAGCTGAGTAGTTATGAATTGAATTTAAGCTGTCGACATCAGCTTACTATAAAAGAAAATTTGTTTGGCACTTTATTAATAAATGCAAAGTTTTGTGAACAGAAAGGATATTAAAAAACACTGGAAACCCAAGTTCCAGAATGATGGAGTTGGGGCTAGAGGAAGAAGGATTATTGGGTCGAGAGATATGAGTACAAAGGAAATGGACCCCTTCTTGATGCTCGATCTTTTTAGTATCAAACTTCCTGCTGGGTTTCCTGATCATCCCCATAGAGGCTTCGAAACTGTGACGTACATGATTAGTGGAAAGATTTACCATGAAGACTTTAAGGGACATAAAGGAACTATTGGTCCAGGAGATGTCCAATGGATGACTGCAGGTAAAGGAATCGTACATGCTGAGATACCTGCAAGCAAGATTGAAGCTTCTGTAGGATTCCAGCTGTGGGTTAATTTGAAAAAGGAAGACAAGATGAAAGAGGTAAATATTCCATATTGTCGACAACTTTAACCTAATATAGCCTGCTTACCAAGAATATCCAAAAGAAGAGATCCCCTATGTTGATAAGTGGGATAGTGAAGGAATCAGAGCCAGAGTCATTGCAGGCAAAGTATTCGATGTTAAAGGATCGATATATACTCGCACCCCAGTGGAGTTAATTGATTTTGAACTCGACAAAGATGCCATTTACCAACATACTGTTGCTGAGAAGTGGAATGTCCTTGTCTTCTGCTTTGAGGGAAGTTTTGAGATTTTCCAAGAGAATGGGGAGCCTAAGAAACTCAAGACTTACATGGCTGCAGTTCTACATGCAAGCGATGATGAAGAGGTGCTTGAAATTAAAGGTCTTGAAGAAGGTAGCAGATTCATGTTGATCGCAGGTCTCCCTCTTAAGGAACCTATTGCTTCTTATGGACCTTTTGTAATGAACACAGATGATGAAATCAGTGATACCATTTCGGACTACCAAGACAGTGACAATGGTTTTGAAGGAGCTGACACATGGGAATCAGACATCAAAGACTTAATGACTGAATAAATGAATCACATTTGATCTATCAATCTGTCTAAATCTCCAACTTTTCAATACCACCAACACTAAAAGGGGTTTTGGGGTTTTGGGGTTTTGGGG